GCGCACCTCGGATATTCACAAGGTACTTGCTACCTCCCGCCAACATGGGTACCAGATAACTTGGTCTGCCAAGTCTTAGACAGATGTTTTTGTCTAAACCTTGGTCGCACCACTTCATTGACCACTAGGCCACACCTTGTGCTCCAAGATTTGTTTTTCCTCCTTGCCTTATTTCAAACAATGCAAGTAAGAAGAGTAGATTGGCAAAAATACAACTTGTATAATCATGGCATCTACTATCATTTGCGTTGAGATTGTGTCCTGGATATTGCTACTGAGAGTACATTGAATTTTTTAGTTCGAGTCATATGGATATCTGGTTTTAACGTCTTATGAAAGATTACATGGACATGGAAGACTGAAATAGAGCATGTATTCCTTATAGATCTTTTGTAGGATATTCTTTCTCTCAAGATTTTGTGAAGAGAATTCTAATGCTTGTGGAAAGTTCCTGAACGGCCATAAGTAAGTGCCAACTGTATCTGGATATAGGTGATCAGGATGAAATTTACCTGTTGAAGCTGCACCTATGTTTAGTTTTTATAATTAGGTCTAGAAATCTAATGTTGTAGCTATTTTATTGTAGATCTGGCTGGCCATGTGTATAAAGCTTTATTGTGATTGATGATAGCTTCTAAATTTAACTCCACTTGGCCTATGAGTGACTCTTCAATGCAATAGATGACTTGTATCATCCTAGCCTTTACTTGTATTGGGAGACGCATTGAAATCAATCGTTGTCTGCTCTTGGTAATGCATGAAGAAAATTCTTTGGTAGACCGAGTGTCAACTTTCCAATCATAAAAAATGAATAAAGTCTGCCACATTAGGCTTTTACCTTAAGTGGGAGGAGTTTAACTGCCTCTACATGAATTCCTTTCTCAATAGATGGTTTTCCAACTCTTGTCTAAAGTTGTACCGTACATCCTCGAATACCTAAATGATCTCAAATGAACTTTACAGTTCATGGTGTAAGTTATAGAGCATTGGGTAGTAATATAGTTTTGGATTGAGGCATGGTTATTCTAATAGAAATCATTTTTTACTTCATGTTTTGAACTATTAAATTCCTTGAAATGAAAGTTAAGGCAGCCTTCTCCTAGTAGAAGGGTTGTGATCTTGCCCTTTTATCCCCGGTACTCGGGAATACCTTTTTCTATGCCCCTCTCACATTTATTAGAAAATTCTTTTTTTTTTGTTCAGTTCAGTTAAGCTCACCCACCTGGAGAAACATTGTAATTGCACCACATGAGTGTTTTTTTTTTTTTTTGGGAGGGGGGGGGGGGATGAGTTTTATTTGAATATAGAAATGTGTTTGGAACTTCCTGGCTTAATGAGACATCTGTACTACAAGTGGCTCCTCCCCTTGCTTTTGTGCCCCACTACTTTTTGAACAGGTCCTGAAGTGTTGCCTCTTAGTAATGGGCTCAAATCTAGTTGTTGGATAAGTATCCTGCTCTTTGTGAGGTCCCTTGGTTAAGTTTCTTAGGTTTGGTACATTTTTGTGATCTCATTATAGTAGTACATTTAATGAGTAGAATAATGAAAGACCTTCGTCGAAAAGTTTTTTTTTATTCCAAAATAACTGTCCTAGCTCCTTCCTATTTGAAAGTATCTCTCTTTACTTTGGCTCTCTTTCTCTTGTGGAAGCAAAAGGGCTAGAGCAAAGATCTCATCAATTCTTGCTTCAGAGTCCCTTGTGAATATTGCAGTAGGAGATTCTTGTTCGTACCCCTATTGTGGATTATTCTTCATGTTATTGAGGATCTTGTTCAGTGTAAGATTCAACCGCCTCAAGGAGTTCATATATTCCATCTCTGAAGTATGAGAGGGAATATTTTTTGCACTTTAGCATGTGCTCTCGCATTGGATTCTGTCAAATGTTTCTGCACACTACCTTTTAAATCTCACCTGAATAATGTTGAAACTGGAACCACTACGCGTTCAGGTTTGCTCCTCAGTCCTCCCTGAAATGGTATTTGCATCGCTTGAGGTAGTTTCAGATATACATACTTTTAAACTAATGAAGTTTAATTCTAAGGCATATTTAGGTAATGTAACTTATTATGCCTCTCCGCATGTTTTGACATTTCTATGTTCTTGTCAAGCAGGCTATATTCCTTAAAACAATTGGAGATTAGTAGTCAATTCTTTAATATGCTTGTCTCATGCATACTGGATATCATGGTTTCCCTGCCTTATCTAAAGCGATCAAGCAGTGTAGATCTTTTCTTAAAAGAACTGTCAGGTTTTTAAATCTCTCTCTCTCTCTCTCTTTCTCGGAGAAGTATGAAAGAAAAGTTCATGCGTCAAATCTTCTAAAGGATTTAGATAGGCTGATATTGCATGTGTACACTCACATGAAAAACACACAAGAATATTGAAGGTTTACCCTTAGGGGTGGCCCAGTGGTTTGGGCTTGGGACTTCCATGTTGGAGGTCTCAAGTTCGAAACCCCTTGCCAGCGAAAGCAAGGGGTTTGCCTTCTGGGTCGAGCTCGTCGCACCGGGCTTGCCTAGTGTGGGTTACCTCTCCTATGTGGTTTGCGAGCTATTGCATAGGAGCAGGGGTTTTACCCTGTGCGCACCCAAAGGGTAGCGGTTGCGGGTTTCCCTTGTCATAAAAAAATATTGAAGGTATATATTCACATATGTAAGAATATTCTAACTTTGTCTACTAAGAAATTACACTTCTGTATGTATGGGTACACTGTAGTGTCATGTGTCAATCATTGCATTTGCATACTTGATAGCTTAAGCAGTTGCCAGATAAACTTTATAATCATGCGATTAAAACATAAAGAACTAGTAAAATTACCAACGTCCCTGTTTGATAACTATAGTAAAGTTTTAATGACAAAAACAAAATGTTCATTTCAATTTGGGACTGAATAGAGCATAGTGGTTGCAAATCCATATAGCCGGACCCAAGACATCTGAGCTTATCAATGGTTTAGAGCCCTTAGAATAATATTCATGTTAGCCTTTACAAAAGCTTTTTTAAAAGGTATTCCTTATGTTAGCTTATTATTTTCTTTCCTGGGCTTGATGTGGCAGTTAGGATGTGTAACTTGAGTTAGATAAGCAATCCAGGATGAAAAGAAATTGAAAGATAAGAGTTATATCCTTTTCCATTGGCTGGAGATCCATTACATAATTAAGTTTCAAGAAGAGTATCAGTGGATATATCTCTAGGATACAATTGTTTAATAAGTTTCCAGGTTTAGCTTTCAACACAATATTAGAGATGAAACTTGTCTTGGGAGATGAAATTACATTTTTTTTTAAAACTAAGAGGATTGGAGATTAAGTGTGTATTTGTTAGAGAAATATGAGAAATGAAGCTTTTCATTTCCAATTGGACAACCCTTTTCCGACATTTAGTCGAAGAAGATGGTGTTTATCGGTGCCTATAAGACACTGTCCAAATGCCTATGATTGTGTTTGCATTTGTCAAAGAATTATGACAGATGAAGTTTTCATTTCCAATTGGACAATCTTTTCCGACATTTAATTGAAGAAGATAGTATTTGTGGGTGAATATAAGACACTGTCAGAATGCTTGTGATAGGCATGGACGTATCTAGTGGCTCTGGTGATGTTTAAGTGTGCTGTTGCAGTTGAGATGGACCATTTTGCTGTAATGGCACAAGATTTTTGAATGCAATTCTTCCCTGTGCGAGGAATGAGTAGTGTGTGAGTAGCTTGCATGACTTGAGGAAAATAGATGGGAACTTGCCAAGTACCAAAGTTGATGCTATAAAGGTTGTCCCAGTTGCAATCTTCATGTCGAATAAGGCTCGTAGCTTGGCATGTGTAGCCACTCTTGGAAATCACATCCAATTATAATATATTCAAAAATTGATTTTAGGTTGTTTGGAAAAGGAAACAACCTGGCACATTTCCCCTGAAAAACTATCTATTCACTTCTTAGCAATTTATTTTTTTGGCAGTATTGATATCTTAGCAATACTTTCTGAATTGCATGTGTTTTGCAAAATAGAAATACACTGCTCCTAGTTGTGGTTTAGCATGTGTGTGGTGTTGTGGGCTACTTGAGAGCATTTTACTGTGTTTTGCAGGGAGATGATCCAGCACCGACCCTACACGCAGAAAGTTGATGTTTATAGTTTTGGCATTGTTCTGTGGGAGCTTCTAACGGGGATGCTTCCCTTCCAGAACATGACTGCTGTGCAGGCAGCTTTTGCAGTTGTCAACAAAGGCGTCCGTCCAACCATCCCCAATGATTGTTTACCCGTACTAGGTGAAATCATGACTCGCTGCTGGGATGGTAACCCTGACAATAGACCACCCTTCTCTCAGGTGGTCAGAATGCTCGAGGCTGCAGAAATAGAAATCTTGACAACAGTCAGAAAGGCCCGTTTCAGGTGCTGCATCAGTCAACCCATGACTACAGATTGATATGGAAAGAGAAACTGTAGGCAGTAAAGGATTTGGGAAGGCTAAACAGAAGTGATTCCAAAGTCTGGCATGTGTATGTATCTATGAGGCATAATTTCTTTATTCAGATAGAAAAAAGGGGAGAAAGTTATGACAAGAAACTGTTTGATTTTGTGTTGTATCTTCTTTTGTTTTCCTTTTCTTCTTGAATTTAAGATTCTGATTAGTGATAATAGAATAGTAAGTGTATTTATACATATCTCTGTATTTTATTTTACCTTGATCAAATTTTATCAGGTGCTGAAGACGTTACATGCAGATCCACCCTGACCCCATAGATTACCTTTAGTATCTCTGATGCTTTATTTTATTATTATGCAGAAAATGTGGTAGGTCTTATCTTTCTTTTTTCTTCTAAATGTAATATATAGAAATGAGATAAGTTGACCTTCAGGAAGACGTGTGTGTGGTGTTGTGGTATACTATTACCAAACATCATGCTTTCAACTGTTTATTTGTTGAATCTTGAGTGATTATAAATGATTTAGCTGCAAATGAGAGGAAGTTTCATAAAATCCAATCTTACACAGGTAATTGAAAGTGATAAAAATATATTTATCATTTCTTTTTCCTCTCTAAAGTGGAGAGTAAACGTCTATACAAGTAAAATGGAATAAGTCCAAACTTTAGACATCATGAGTATCAATTAGTTCCCTACCCTTCGTCTCTACTGATAAGAGCAGAACACTGACTGCTGATAAAACTAGAACTGCTTCGAAACATACGATTGCAGCCGTCTGATGACACTCTCTTACCAGTTGCACCACCACTATAGGAGAAATCATGGGCCCTATTCTTCCCACAGAATTTGCAACTCCAATACCAGTTGACCTTACAGACGTTGGATATATCTGTATACAAGACATTAAAATGAGATAGTTGTCAACATATACTAACAACTAACAAGAAGAAGAGAGATTTCCACTTTTCTTTCAAATTCAATACATGCATCTGGCTTGAGAGTCAGGTGGTTCCAAATACACACCACTCTACCTGTTCGAAGTCTAAGAAAGACTGGAAAGCTTTAAACTTCTTCAAATAAATGAAACATAATCTTGAAGTCAACTTTCTTATATACGCATCAAGTTTGACTGGATGGAAACAGGAATGAGTACTGTCTAGAAATTTGCATTATTATAAGGAATGATAGTTACCTCTCGACAATAGACATCCACAATGACGAAGCTTCCAGAAATGAAAGTACGAGCACCAAATAACAAGGCAGTAGTCAAAGCAGGCAGTTGAGGTGCAAGAAGCGGTAAAAGGCTCAGGAAGCTTAAACCACACATAAGTGCCACACTGAATTTCCGACCAACTTTATCAACCATTATAGCTGCTAAAAGAGTTCCAGGGATCTCTGAGAGATCAAAATAGAATAACTTAGATTTTAGAACCTGTAAACTTTTGATTAGTTGAGATGAATATGACACAAGTAAAGAGAAAATTGTTTTACCTGCCAGATTATTGATGAGCACATTTGTATAAAGGCTCTGATCATCATTCAGGTTCAAAGCAATTGACGAATGTTGACATTGTCCACTGCTAAACAGTGAGGTCAGCAATATAATGCCGTAATATGAGAAGGAATTTCCAATATAAACCACCCATATGAGGAGGGTATTTCTACGTAACGCGGGGGACAAAAGCATTAGTAGTGATGAGAAGCCTGATTTAAGAATCGAGACTTTGATTTTCCCAGGGGAAATCAATTCCTCATGCACCTCAGTCACTTCAGAAGATACGAGCTTTCCAGGGGGAAGTTGTGTCTTATTGACAACAGCTATTTTCTTCAGAATATCATAGGCATCTCTTGTCCTACCTATGGCACACAGATATCTAGGAGATTCTACTGTCAATACAAATAACAAAAGTGCTGCAATTGATGGTATGGACGATAAAGCCAGTAACCATCTCCAACCCAATCTTGGCATAATCATCTGCAACATAAACAACCTTAGTGAAATTCTTAATTTAATCATATTTTTCTTTGCAAACACATTCATGTATGAATATGTATAACTTATAAGCAGCAACTTACAAAGTAGTTATACTATTTTGAAAAAGAATAGTATCTAGAGATTATACTGAGTCGCTTACTTCCACAACACATCTGCATATTTTTTGTTAACATAACTTTAAGCATATACAGACATGCTATATGTAAATTAAATATAAATACCAAGATCTTGAACATGAGAATTCTACATAACATTGTCATTAGAAGCGTACCTGATGCAGAAGACATTCTTGCAGTAGGGATGAACAAGGATTACTTCCGATAAATTAATTTCTTTTGCATTGGGGTGGCAGGGATGAAGTGGAGGCTTGCCTCTAGAGTCTTGTGTGATAAGAAGGTACCACCTAAACTTAAAAGTAAGTTCTATAGAGTGGTAGTTTGATCGTCCTTGTTGTATGGGGTGGAGTGATGGCCAGTCAAGGACTCACACGTTCAAAAAATGCATGTTGTGGAGATGAGGATATTGAGATGGATGTGTGGGCATACTAGGCTTGTTAGTGCCTGTCTTAGTATTAGTCTTACCCTTGTAGTTCTGGCCATATTGTGTTTCAATTATCACACTATTTTGTTGCTATTGTCCTTTCTTGTAGACTTTACACTACTTTTCTTATTAACTGCTATGCTTTCTTCATTCTTTTGGAAACAGCCCTAGTGGAAGGAATTTCAGTGGGTATGTTGTTATTATTTCTAACGTCTGATAAAACGTCACAGTGGCTTGAGTGATGGAAAATTCCTATAGAGGACCAATTTATTTGGAGGCGCGATTAAATGGAAGATCAACAACATCATATTGAAAAACATTCATATTAGTAAAGCAAAAGATATGTAATGTACCAGTGCTAATAGAGCCTCAAGTATTGTTCCAATTGTCCAAAAACCTGCATAAATCATCATCCACATTCCCCTATTTTGAGAAGGCACAAATTCAAGAAACCAAGATCCATATACAAGTCCACCCCCTGCTCCAAATCCAACCATCATACGCACAGCAAGCAACCAATTATAATTTGGAGAAAAGATACTGAGTGTTGCACATACAGCCGTCACTAACGCTATACTTAAAAGCCCCTTCCTGTTCGTTAATAATGAAAAATTAAATTCTTCCCAAACATCAAAATACAATAAAATTGTACATTTCTTGCCTTCTTCCATAACAATCTGTGATAAACCCCCAAAATAAAGCTCCGATAAGCATGCCAGCGAAAACGACAGTACTCATAAGACTTTCTTGAGTAGGAGAAAGAGACCATTGGGACCTTAAAGCAGGTCCTATAAAAGAGAGAATCATAGTCTCTACTGCTTCTGAAATAGAACCAAGACCTGCATAACACAATACCATATACTGAAATTTACCAATTCCAACTGATGTGAGTGCTTCTTCCATTGTATACACAGCACCATCTTCTTCCACTTGCTCTATTGCCATCTTCAAGTGAAGTCAAAGTGGATGGAAAAACTTATTTCTTATATAAAAATAGATATAGACAAATACCTAACATGGCTTAGAAAATTATTTTTTTGTTTGATATAATTAAAAGAAAGTCTATCTTATTTACTATATGTAATTATATTTTATGAGTTATCTGTTTACGTTTTCTACTTAAATAGCATGTTTCATTAACTCCTTTCTACTTAATTTTTATGACTTAATCACTCTATAAATAAAAATTATTTGTGGAGTTGTTGGATGCTCATATTTGTGTTTTCCTTCTTCTTTTTTTATTAATATATCATTTTTTTCATAAATTGTGTGTTTAATCATCAAAAAGAGGACATAGAAAAGGTTATAGTGATAATATTAGTAGTATTAAACAATTAATTATGAACTCGTCAAGCATCTCGAATTTTAATATGTAATTTTGTTTTGAATATATAATAGTTTTTATTTTTCACTATACGTCACACAAGTTAGTAAAAACGGATAATATAATAAAACTTTAAATGATATTTATCATTAAGAAATAGATACGCAAATAATATACTCCACATATTTTATTATTTGCCTGGCCAATCACGTCTCATTTCCCTCTTTTTTGGATTTACTGGAATAGATTTTCTAAGAAAATATTCGGGTTTTTTTTATAATGATCTTATGATGTATGGTAAATCTTTGGAAACCCATCTTGAGGCATTATTAATCTTTCTACAACAAAAACACTATAGAATACTTTGGACACATTATCATAGAACCTGGATTCATGAGTATGAACTCCAAAGTGGTATATTTCCGAATTAGTCGAGCTCCAAAACAGATACCAGACACTGGGTGAGAAACAAAAAAAAAATGAACTTGGAATTGAGAAAGATAAAGCAAAAGTTGTAGCAAGATCCTCTAGGCCTCAACCTAATGTAGTTGGAACATAATTAACACTCCTCCTCCACACGCCTAGGAATGAACAATTGGAGCATGAATAACATAACACCGGGGGGCCAACACACATGAACAGGACCAATGGGTATGGCTCTAGAGCAATACGAACATATGACCATTGTGTCTAATTCAACCTAAACACTAGCTCATAAAGGAAGAATTGACCAAGATCAATGATTCATGCAAGTAAAACTTCATTACACTGATTCAGTCCAATCTATTTTCAATACATGTAAAATAAAAAAAGTCTAAAACATTTAGACACCAAGAGTGTCATATAGTACCCTACCCTTTGTCTCTACTGAAATGAGCAGAACACTGGCTGCTGATAAAACTACAACTGCTTCGAAACATATGATTGCAGCCATTTGATGGCACCCTCTTACCAATTGCACCGCAATGATAGGAGAAAGCATGGCCCCTATTTTTCCCACAGAAGTTGAAACTCCAATACCAGTTGACCTTACAGATGTTGGATATATCTGCATAAAAGACATTAAAATGACAAACTTAAGTCTCTAGACTAGAGCATTTGCATCTAATGAGCTGATGGCCCTTGAAAATCCAGCATAAGTTTAGCAGTTAACAATTAAAGATGCATCTCAGAAGGTTAGTCTGCATCAAAGTCACCTCATTATATAATAAGTCTCAATCAGACTGCCGAAATACCAGAATCAACATGAGGAGTAGTAGACAACATGTGTTGTCGCATACCCCTCAGCCAACAGAAAAAAAGGGCGAAGAGGCCAAGACAATACTTCATGAAAAGATGTCACAAAACTCAAAAGAGACCTTTACCTCAGAATTTTCTTTTTTTCTTCTCACTGATCAAGAACCAGAAAACACAAATGATTCACATGAACTAGACTATTATTTGTTTAAGAATACACACTTCAACATCGGTAACACTGCTGAAATTTAACCATTTTAGAACTTCATTGTCACTTGTCAAATTAGAAGAAGAGAACTGCAGTCCAAATTCACTAGCATTTCCGCTCTCTTTTTCAAATTCAGTACATGAGTCTGGCTTCAGAATTTTTTATATCTCAAAGTTAGAAGCCTAAAAACAACTAAAAAGTTTTAAGCTTCTTCAAACAAATGAAGCATAATCTTGATATCATGAAGTCAACTTTGTTTATATATGCAATGAAACAGGAAGCCTAGAAATTGCATGATGATATGGATTGATGGTTACCTCTCGACAATAGACTCCCACAATGAGGAAGCTTCCGGAGCTGAAAGCACGAGCACCAAATAGCAAGGCAGTAGTCAAAGCAGACAGTTGAGGTGCAAGAAGTGGTAAAAGGAATAGGAAGTATAGAGCATACATAACTGCCATACTGAATTTCCGGCCAACTTTCTCCACCATTATAGCTGATAAAAGAAACCCAGGGATCTCTAGAAACCAAATAGGGTAATTTAGATTTTACAACATGTTATCGGATCAATGCTAAGTAAAAGACAATCATTTAATAATTAGTTGGGATGAATATGACTAAAGCAAAGAAAAATTGTTTTACCTGCAAGACTATTGATGAGCACATTTGTATAAAGGCTCTGATCATCGTTCGTGTGCAAAGCAGTTGACGAGTGTTGGCATTGTTCACTGCTAAACAGAGAGGTCAGCAATATAATGCCATAATATGAGGAATTAGTTCCAATAAAAGCCACCCATATGAGGAGGGTATTTCTAAGTAATGCAGGGGACAAAAGCACCAGTAAGTATGAGAAGCCTGATTTAACACTTGAAATTTTGTTTTTTCCAGGAGAAAGCAATTCCTCAGTCAGTTGGGAAGAGACAAGCTTGCCAGGAGGAAGTTGTGTCTTATTCACCACAGCTATTTTCTTCAAAATATCACAGGCATCGCTTGTTCGACCCATGGCACACAGATATCTAGGAGATTCTACTGTAAATACAAATAACAAAAGTGCTAAAAATGATGGTATGGATGATAAAGCCAGTAGCCACCTCCAACCCAATCTTGGCATAATCATCTGCAACATAACAACCAATAAGAATACATGAGATTACGGCAGAATTTTGGTGACAACTTACAACAATTACTGTTTTGTCTGCATTGTACAGTCCTCAAGGTTAGAACGAAGAAAATTGCTTCCAGCACGAAGAATCAGAAGTAAATTGTGCAGTAGTACATGCTTGCAGGAGAAGAACTGCTTAAGAGTTCCGTTCCTCCAACTGTTTCTGTTTTTAGGATTTTCACATAAATGCAGATGGTGTTAGAGTGGGTAAAAGTCCCTCATTGGTTGGGGAATGGACTAGTCTCCTTATATGGACTTGGGCAATCCCTCCCCTCATGAGTTAGTTTTTGGGGTCAAGTTAGGCCCAGGTGCCATATCCTTACATGGTGGTATCAGAGTCATGTCCATCCCTGTTTAGGCTCCCGGTGGTCTCCTTATATAGACTTGGACAATTCTCTCCTCATGAGCTAGTTTTTGAGGTTGAGTTAAGCTCAGGTGTCATAACTTTACGGATGGTACTAGTTGAAGGTATGATATATAAGTGAGAAAGCATCAAAGAAAAACAAATCCAAAAGAAAGACATCTAGAAGATAACTCCAAATGATATATATTGTACCAGTGCTAATAAAGCCTCAAGTATTGTTCCAATTGTCCAAAAACCTGAACAGATAATCGTCCACATTCCCCTGTTTTGTGAAGGCACAAATTCAAGAAACCAAGATCCATAAACAGGTACACCACCAACTCCAACTCCAACCATCATACGCACAGCAAGCAACGAATTATAATTTGGAGAAAAAGTACTGAGCGCTGCACATACTGCACTCACTATTGCTATACTTAAAAGACCCTTCCTGTTCGTTAACACAGACAATAAAATTAGATTATTCTCAAATATAATAAACAAAATAAAAATTGTACATTTCCAACAATTTCTTGCCTTCTTCCATAACAGTCCGTGATGAATCCCCAAAAAATAGCTCCGATAAACATGCCAGCGAAAACGACAGTAGTCATAAGGCTTTCTTGAGTAGAAGAAAGTGTCCATTGGGACCTTAAAGCAGGTCCTATAAAAGAGAGAATCATAGTCTCAACTGCATCTGCAATGAAACCAAGACCTGCATAACACATTGCCATATACTGAAATTTGCCAATTCCAACTGCTGTAAGTGCTTCTTCCAAGGTGTATACAGGGCCATCTTCTTCCTCTTCATGTGCCATCGAAACAGGGAACTTAATAATTCCTCTGTTTCAAAAGTAATCTATAATGATGCATTATATTATTAATAATCCTTCCTTCCGTTCATTTTATACGAGTTAGTTTGACCGAAAAGAAATAATTTTGAAATTTGTGATCTAAAATCAACTAACACATATTTATATAGTTATGAATCATTTCATTAAAAATAAAAAATGGCATTTTAAAGTTAATATAAAAATATATCATTCTTTTTTAAACGGGCAAAAAAGAAAAAATAAGTCAGTGTTCTTTAATGGTTCATAATTTGACAGAAACGTGTTTATAACCAAAACTACCACTCAACTATCTAAAGGATGTCATGAGTTTGTTTGGTCGGTTTGTTTATCTAAATTAATCCGAATCAAATCAAATTAATTGACTTGTTTTGATTTGATACGAATTTTTTAGAAAATAAAGAATATTTTTATATTATGTGGTTTTATAGTAAAGATATGTCAAATGTATCAAAATGTTCTATAATGTTGTGATCTTAAATATGTCAAGTGGAAAAAGTTAGAATTAAATAGTTGCTAAAAAATGAATTGGTCATTTTTTTTCAACGGAATAAAAAAAGTAGTCAAATAAATTGAAATAGAGGGAGTATATTAATTTGATCCTTTTATTTTTTGGATTTTTTTTTGTCACATGAATACGATTGAGTTATGCATAAAGTTTCAATGGATCAATTAGTATCAACTTGTCAATTAAAACACCTTTTAATCATCCAATAAGCCTGCTGTGAGGTTCTCAGTTGTTCCAACGTCAGCTTTTTAATGGCACAATATGACTTTTCATTTTATTATTCAGAAACTTTTCTCATCTCAAATGAAAACAATTTATTTTATAATTAAATTGTATTTTTGCAAATATCTCATGCTTGCAAACATAATCCAAAGTTAAAATGATCATTTTTTTAAGTTAAAAATGCACAAATGGACACTCATTTTCGAAGTTGACCAAAATGGTCAAATTGTTGGAATGTCGAACGAAATTGTAAGGATCGATGTCAAATGGCCATTTATCAATTAAATCTTTTTTTTTTTGAATTTCTAAGACGTTCTTGGGATGATCTCATAGTTCTTACGAATTTCGTTTCATGATATTCTTTAACCACATTTTACTCAAAGGGTTGAAGGGAGATAGTGCATCAAGTTATTCACAAAAGGCTAACTTGATCTTCTTTCCCAAAGATTAGATCTCAGATGAGGAAATCCTAGAAGAGCCGTCAACTCCAACTATCATTCATGTATGGTCCATATTAGATTTGATCAATTGTCCATCCTACCTCTTTTACATTCTTGACAGTCAATTTGTGTCTTAGTACTCTTTCGGCGGCAAGTTTCAATCTTCATTTCCATTACTTAGAAAAAGTGAGTTACCAATTTACGTACAAGATAATATTATAACTGTCTGAACAATTAGACAACCAATATGTTATTACAATAACTAAATTACAAGAGCGGAGCTTTACCAATCATGTTATATTCTCCCAAACCAAGTGGAGCAAGCATGAAGTAGCTAGATGTTTCTTCTATTCTTTTCCATAGTTCAATTAGGCTAGACTGGACGTAAACTACAGACTTCGATTGTGAAGTAAACTATTGCATGTCTGATTAGATAATTGGTGAGGCAACAACTTATCAAGGTGATGATCAATATTACCAAGCACTTCCAACTATTATTATAATTATAAAACTGAAAAATATACGATGTATAATTACTGATTCAAAAATCATACATAAGTAAACTAAATACTTGAGGTTTTTTTTTTTAGTAGGTGAATAAGAAATTTTGATGTTGGGACCTTGAGCCCTAAACAATCTATGAATTGGTTTTGATTTAAATATTAAAAAATGTCATTGTAGAAAATTGTAATATAATATAGTTTTGAAACAAAAAGAAATATTCATTCTGTTTTATTATCTTACTTTTCTTTTTAATTCATTTTATAAAGAATAATTTATTTTCTTTCTTTTGACAACTTCTTGATCTAAATTTTACGCGTGATATATTTAAAACTAAAAATTAACTACAAAATTTAAAAATATTAATTTAATTTTTAAAACTCTATATAAATCAAAATCCGACAAATAATTTAAAACACTCGATTACTTGTTTTCAAGGTGGATCAAATATTATTATTAATAGTTATACAAAATGCTCAAATGCTTAAAAAATAAAATAAAATATCTCACTAGGAAATTGGAAATAAGACTTGATAATTTTGGGCTTCAGAGTAACCCATTTTCTCTGGGCCCAGCCTAGCTGAATTTTAGGCCCAATACTCAGGACTGTGATTTAATTGCAACTGTCCCAACATTTAAATTGAAGATGACAGTTGTGGTACAAAAAATTGTAGTGTTCTAACACCATGTTTTCTCTACAAAAAAATATCCCTCTCTCCGAAGAAAAAAGTTACATCATACGACTGTACAAGTGAACTAACAAAACGTGTTACCTAAAATGAGATACAAAGACTAACATTTTGTTTGTCGTGTATCCAAGATTCTAGTTAAAAAAAGAGAAATTTTCACATATAGTCACTCAAAAATAGCCTAATTACACTCCATAGCTATAGTTTACTAATTACGATTCGTAGCTACGTGTTATAGTAAGGAGAGTTTCGAGCGAGACTGGAGAGGGAGGAGAGAGGACAGAGAGTGGGAGAGAGGTGAATTGTATATGTATATCGATTAGATAGTTGTATATTATACATATGTATTTGTATATTCTGGCAAGAGAGATTGGGAAAGGGAGGAGAGAGACTAGCGAGATTGGGAGAGGAAGGAGAGAGGCGAGCGAGATTGGGAGAGGGAGGAGAGAGGCGAGTGACAGAGGACAATAATTTGCATAATTCGCATCTCATTTGTATAATTTGCAGGTACGTTTGTATAATTCACATGTTTTTTGTATAATTGGTAATATAAAGTCTGAAATTATACAAATATAATAAAACTTGAAATAACAAATTGATACAAACATAAACGTATGAACTTTAAACAATTATACAAAATATATTATATAAATTATATTATACAAAATCCAAAAACTACACGTTTATACAAACTTTAAAAAGTTATACACAAAAAGATTGAATGTATATGATGACAAAACTGAAAAATCAAAGAAAATCATCGTCATATACAAATACAAACAATCGTATACAAATACAAGTCAAGCAAAGAATTGTTAGCTGCGAATTATACATATACAAACGTGGCTAATTATACAAACTCGAAGTCAGCCCACGTAATTAATGTATAATGTTAGTCGCGAGTGGTAATTATAGCAACCTATAGTTATGATGAATAATTAAGTAGTATAAATTTGCTTAACCGCATAATTTTCTCTTAGAACAAGTCATGTTGTTTGCTTTTCTCTTGAGCCATGTAAAAATCTCGTGCAAGCACGGACCTCAATATATATTATGCTACATATGTCACAAATAATGGTAGTAAAAGAGTTGCTAATATATGCGCGCTATTTACATATTTTTACAGAGGTTAATTTGTTTCTATAGGTGGTAGTCATCTTGTCGTTCTTAATTGTTGCTGCATCTGTGGGAGTTGGACAAAAAAACATGTTGTTGAGAGGAGAAGTGCGTATTAAGTAAAAATGGAATATGATTAATTCTTCTGTCGCATACCTTGTTAGTTAAAATGTTGGGCATCATGCATATTTTTAAGAGGCAAAAAGATAGCAACCTTGATGTCAATCATAATAGTTTTTTTCTTCAAGAAAGAAAGAGACAGCAAGGTACTCTAAAAGTAAGGATATAAAACATATCTCATGCTTTAGATGAATAATAATAATAATAGTGTTATATTCTGAGAAGCTCTCACTTCTTATGCAAGCAATTAAAACTCTTTTGCATTCTCATTTTTTATTTATTAAGGTTAAGGTTAGTAAGATAAATAAATCTCACTTCAGATGACAGGGGAAAAAAAAAACAATTAACTAAAGACTCAATTCCATGAACAAAGGGAAAAAAAGTAAATAGCATAGAAGACGGATCCTCTATGTATAACATGAAACAAAAAGAACCCATTAACTAAATCAGATGACAGGGGGAAAAAAACCTATTGTCTATATGTAAAAGCAATTAAACATATCATTGTTAAATTTTAAATTCACAATAAGCAATTGCTAAATTAAGTCCCACAAAAACTAACAATTTAACAATCGATAACACAAAATTTTCAAATTAATTCACAAAATTGCAAGTATTGAGTTTCATTAGGAATATACTGCAAATAGTTATAACGGCTCAATCCCGAGTAAGGTAAGATCAACTATATGAATCTTCACTGTCCATATCCTATGATATCATAGCCAATGTTGTAAACGATATTAAATTGAAAGACAACACCACCACCAACAACAACAACAAATGTCCTTCAATCTAGAGCAATTTCAGGTCGAATTTATGAATCCTGATTTCCCATGCCGCTTTGTTTAACTATCGACAAAAGCTATTACCGTACTATCAAGAAAACGAATGTAACCAAGACTTAAATTATGTTTCTGGTGGTGGAGCAAAACTAATGAAAAAGATAAGAGTGGTAACTGAAGACATAACCTGCAATTGAATCTTGCATACTGTCCAAAACATGAACATTTCTTCACCGGCAACCTGGTACATTTTTATAGTTATCTACAAGTGGTTAAGGAAATAAAATGCAAGCTTCAGTTCCAAAATCTAACTTGTACTTGATAATAAATATTGTCAACCTGCTTCACAATGAAATATTCACGCACATAGCAGATGAAGAGTTTTTTTCTTTTTTTTAAAACAAATTTATCACTAGACAGTGTTTAACAGTCTTTTATTAAAGATAAAAAATATCAATAGGGACAAGTACAAGCAAGGGGGCTAGGCCTTACCTTATTAATCCTAATGAAGTACCTAACTTCTGCTACCTAACAAGCATGAAGAAAATAGGAGCTAGAGAGAACTAAGTATTTTCTGATCATCATAGAGTTTGTAATACACTTCATGATGATATTACAAATGAGGAT